ATCAGTAAGTGAACTATAGTTTTCTTGTAATCCAGTCACCTTCCAAAATCCCCAACTCTGAACACATAAGGCCTTTGGGGGACATTTCAGATCGAAAGCACAGTCACAATTCACATATCATAAAATCCATTCTTTAAAAATAAACAACTCAGTAGTAGTTCCACTGTATTCACAGACATGGACAATGTTCATTATTATCTAACTGTATTTTATAATTTATCTCTTTGTGATTTACTTATACAAAAGCCATAAAGATATATATTTTATCTTAAAAGATTTTAAGATTTCTATAATTTAATCATTTGATCTAGCTAGAATTTTTTTTATTTTTGTGCTGCTAAGAACTGAAATCAGGGTCTTGTGTATGCCAGCTAAGCGTTCAAGCACAGTGCTACACCTTCTTGTCCAGAATTTATTTTTGGTAAGGATATTTATTTACTTATTTATTTATTTATCATCAATTGTCTTATCACATTTTACTCAATAGTTTGTCTTTTACTGATTTAAAAAAATTCTATTGCTATTAAATTCTGAATTTTCGTACATGCTTGAATCTGCTCTGAGGTCTCTATTCTATTCCATTCATCTGTCTATCCCTTTACAGTACTACACTGCTGTCCATTCTAGCTTTATAATAAGTTTTTATCTTCTTAGAGCAAGTCTTACCTACCTTAAAGGTTCAGGATATTCTTGACCACTTGCCCTTTCATATTAATTATAGGAACAGTTTGTTAAATGCTAGAAATACTATAGTTTTTTATTGTAACTACCATAGATTTATAGAGATCTAAAATATATATAGTAATATTATATATATATAATATGTAACACACACATATATATATATATATATATATATATATTTCTTGGACTTTCAATGTAATTATACCATCTATAAGTGAGAAGAAAGTTTCCTAATCATTAAATTTCCATTTTCTTTGGAAATTAAATTTCTTTGGAAAATAGTCGTGTCTTATTGCATTGGCTAATACATTAAAGGCTGTGTTGAATGGATGCATTGACAAGGGATCTTACCTTTTCCCACCAATTTTCATGGAATGTTTTAAAGTTTCACCATTAAAATTAGTATAATAGTATTTTTTAGAGTCAGAGTAAAGATGATCCCTCCTGGTACTGGTTTGCTAAAAGACTTTACCATCATTTTGTGTTTATCAAGTATCTTTTCTACATGAATTATCACAATCACAACTTTTTTCCCCCAGTATTGGGGATTGAATCCAGGGCTTTTGCACTAAGCTAGATTCCCAGCACTGCTTTCAACCCTTAAAAGTTTTCTGCATTGAGATGGAGTTTTGCTAAATTTCACACGCTGAGCTCAAATTTGCAATCCTCCTGCCTCAGCCCAACAGAATGCTAGGATTATATGTGTGTCCTCCCACACCTGGCTCATGGCAATGTATTTTATCTCCTTCTCGGTAGACACAAAGGAAGATAACTTCCCCAGTCCTTCAAAGAAGCTTGGTCCCTTGCTTCTGGAAGCCTCCTTCTTAGTTCCTTCACAGTTGGTCTCAGTTTCCCCAAGATCACCCCTTCATGGTAACTCCACCAGTGCTGGATGGGGCCGAAGTATGAAGACCCAGCTGTAGTGTATCACAGCGGGCTGACAAGGGGGCAACTGTGAGGGGCCAAATATGCTTCAAAGCTCCCCCTGGGTTTGGCCAGGCTTTGTGGGGTCACAGTTTCATTTGTTTTTTGTCCACCCTACTTGCTTCCTTCAATCCCTCTGTCCTGCACACTTATCTCAGAATCTATTTTCTATGAATCTCTTTAAACCAGACTGTCAACAAAAAACTTTGCATTTTTTGAGGAAATTCTCCTTATCATACATGGATTCAGGTTGGTAATATCTTAAACTTTTACTTATTTACACTGTGTCCACTGTCAATGTTGCCCTGTATAGCCTCCAGGCACCAGCTGCCTGATGCCATCCATGGCTACAGAAATTATTTCTTGATGCACAAATGTATACTATTTTGTAAGTAGCCTTGTAAGACATGTTTACTATTTAGCTTAGCTTTAATTTCAAAACAGCTTCAACCTTCTAATTGACTTCACTTTGCTCTGAGCAGCAATGTTCAGCATATTTTGTGTATAAGAGATTTTTCTGCTTTTGGCATCATGGTCAGTCATGGCTTTGACATCGTCATTTGCCTGGTGTCATGGTTTATGTCTGTGGCCCCAGGCCTCATGTATTTGCATTGTGCATTTGTGATTGGTCTAGTGCTTGGATTGATGATGTCAGTGCTCCACCCACATAGGGGTGGAGCCAGGATGTGATGTAATGGCAGGAAGAAGGCGTGTTTTGCTCTTTTGCCACTTTTGGCCTTGCTGTTTGCAGCTGCCATGAACTGCAGCTCTGCTGTGCCACCTGCCTTGGAGCCAACTGAATATGGACTGAAACCTCCAAAAAGTGTAAGAAATAAACCTTTCCTTTCCCAACTTTAGGCTTCAGGTATTTTGTCTCAGCAACGAGTAAAAAGTAACTAAGACACCTGGGAATCACCATCTTCTCAGCCCATTTTTATTCCTAGCTAGGGGCCAAGAGAGCTTTGGAGAAACTAAAGAGGAACTTAACCCACAACAAAACCTTGAAACAGGGTTTTGCATCTGACATGTCTCTCATGAGCTCAAGGAATATAAGAAACAAACAAGAAGACACACAGAACAGAAAGTTATAGGGTGAGCAATGCTCTTATCACGCACTCATGTTAAGATGAGTACCAGCTGTCACTGGATACTGGGCATTTTTCTTTCTTACCAGCTCCAAGAGAGTTACCACCTCCCTCCTGCCTGCCCAAACTTTAGAAAGAAACTTTTCTTTTAACCAAGAAGACACATAACTCCTGCACCTTAGAATGTTCAACCTTTAAAAACACACAAATTTTCAGGTTCTATTATTTAATAGAATTAGAGCTACCCCTAAGAGTGACTAGAGACCATGACAATAGTTGCCTGTATCATTTGGCAAAGAATTTGTCTAGAAAGTTCTGAATATGTGCCGTGGAATCCACATAAATTAGTTTATTGTTAACTAGTGGAAAATATTTTAAGAGCACCTTAAAAACATTTTTTTTTTGAAATTGTATTGCCACTGATGAACAGAAAGCCCAATCTGCAATATGAAAATGTAATTTGCTTCTGTAAACTATGCCATCATGCACTCATCGGTCAAGTGAAAGACTGGATTAGGGGATGGCAAAGATCTGTCTTTCACCACTACAGTATATTTCCTGTTTCAGATGAGTGAGACAGAGACATGACTCACCTCTGGTAACACACTCGCTAGCGACAGAATTGTCCATAAAACTGGAGTTTCTGATCCTCAGTCAGCTTCACCATTTGTCTTTAAAAAGATGAATCCCCATAAAAAGCTAAGTTGGCTGTGGTTTCTGCCCATAAGAAAACACAAAGTTCACTCGGGGTTTGTTTAAAATGGACATAACTCAAGATGATCCTAGTGCCTTAGAGGCAGGCGTATTTTGAGAAGGAAAGAACTGATGAGCTAGCTTGTGGGGTCTCCACAGGGGCAGGAGGGAGGAGAGGGACAGCTCCCCTGGGCCTGGAGCACAGAATAAACCTCAGATCAATTTAATGTTGTCCTCTGGAGCCTTTATCACAGAACAGTGCTCACCAAATCCAGTCTCTGACTTAGGATAGTGAACAGTACACCCAGATCTTCTCGACGGCCCACCTACCTAGTAGCCTGATTTAAATGATCAGGGAAGTGAAACAACTAGGGTGAAAATTTGTAGTTTTTCTTATTAAAACTCGGAGTTATTGTTCAGTCACCTGCACGTGAATGGCTGCAGAAACCTTGGCCACCAGTAGCCTGACGTCAGCTAAGCTCAGAAGAGGCCACTTTACTCCAGAAAGAGTATGGTTTTGCCAGAAAACTCACATATTTGTGGGCAAAGTGAGTGGAGGCTGGAGAGACTTTTCAAAGTGGGCGCAAGCCAAACACTGATGGTGTGGTGAGAAGTGACACCGATGGGGTCATCAAGTTCCTCCTGCTGGAGACACAAAGCTGCACCTCTGGAAACAGGGTGCAGTAGAGTGATGGACACAAGGGCAGGAAACTGTACCTCGGGTCTGTTCAGGACAGGACAGGCACCTTCCCTGCACCACTCCTGTCACCCTGGGCTTCTGAGTCACAGCCCAGACAAAAGTCAACTGAAGTGGCTGCAGCTATGGGCCTCTTGTTAGCATTTGGAAATTAGGAAAATACAGCTGTTTAGAGAGTTTTCAGTTCTCAGTAAATCTAGAGCAAAGCTGTTTTAAAAAAGCAAAACTCAGTTTTGAGGCCCCAAGTGTCTTTAAGGAATTGATACAGAGCTATTCACACGACCTCCTCACACCCACCCCTCCCTGCTCCTGTAAAAGGTACACATGTGTGGCATGAAATGTTTAGCTGCACTTTGGGGGTGCATGGGCCCAGATAAGACAGTAGCTTAGAGACAGCCTGGTCCTGATTAAGGCAAGTCAGCCTGCAAGTTCTGTTTCTTTTGGAGAAAGAGCCTGTCCGTTAGAGAGGAGGTTTGTCTGTAGCTATAAATGCAGCAGAAAGAGCTTCTGAGGCACAGCAGTGGTGGCCATCAAGGAGAGTCCAGGACAGGCTTACGCAGAGGACTCGGACAATTCTGGCTTTGCTGAGCACTGCCTTTGTCTATCTAGAAGACACATCTGTGTTTCTAACCAGTCTCCTCTCTCAGATTCTACATTTGTCAAGCAAGTATCTGAGGAAAAGCTGTCCTAACCTGCACAAGGGATATCATGTTCTGGTCTTGCAATCACTGTCACAGCAGAGAAAAGTGAATTTAAACTCTGTTGTATACACTGGCCTCACAAGCTCAGCAAGTCAGATCCATTTTCCTTGTGATGAAAATCAGGTTTTTAAGGTAATCAGAAGAGATATAGAAACTAACATGACCAGAAGTCATCCCTTGGTAACACACCCTCCTACTGGGAATTACTTTACTTACCTTTGACAGGACACCGGATTGTCACATTTGCTCCAACGGCTGCCTCTACAATGCCTCCCACCACGACAGACAGATGGTTGTGCTCTGGTTTGGTGATATTTCTTTCAACAGACAAGATGACAGGTGCCTCTTAATTCAAAGGGAGCAGGAAACTATGTTAGGTTCAGGGTTTTGCTCTTCAGTAAACTGTGCTGCATTTGGTAAATGATTGAGGGTAGAGGGCTGGTTCTCTCAGTATCCCTCATGGTGTACTATGGGGGCCCAGACGCACATAGGTGGAGAATGCAGTGGTTAGATGGGTGGATGGGTTGGACAGCCAAACATAGATGGATGGACATAGTTGCTGGATGGATGAGTGGTTGGATACATTTAAAAAAGTGCACAGAAGTAATCATATACAGACTGAGAATATTTTGGTTTTATAATGACAATTAGAGATAGTTCCTCTTTGATAATTTTAAAAAGAAAGAATTCAGAAGTTCAGAAGAAGCAAAGAAGACATGACAGGGCAGATATGATGCCTCTGTCATGCATCCTCCTTGGATAGGTAAAGGAGGCCAAAACACACAATGAGGTTTGTGTCTAAGTGACATTTTCTGAAAGGAGGAATGTGAAATACTGAGTCAGAGGCTGACAGAGACAGGACATAAGGTCCCGATCCACTCTCTTGTCTCTTGGTAGGAGTTATCTTGGATGGGAAAGCCCCTGGGATCCCTTTCAGATTGACCTAAATATAAGTTCAGGTTCTGTTCAAGTAAGACTTACCAAGAATCCTCTCTGAGTGCTCCAGGGAACAAGATAAAAGGTATTCTTTCTCTTGAAAATCACAGAGAAGAAGATACAGGAGGGTATGTTTAACACAAATGTAGTACCTAAAATGTCCCTTATAAAGTTTTCCGTATTTGGAGCCAGAGTCAGGGTGATGTGTTGGCTTTACAGTAAAACTAGGGTTTGGGGCTCATTCAAAGCTGTAGGAGAAGTGGGCCGACGTGATGCACACTTATGATCCCAGCACTTGAGTGTGAGGTGGAAGTAGCCCAAGTTCAAGTTTAGCCTAGACAATTTAGCTACTTAATGAGACTCAGTTTCAAGATAACTTTAAAAAAAAAAAGACTGGGGATGTTGTTCAGTATGAATGTCTTGGGTTCAGTCTCTAATACTGAAAAACAAAAGCTGTATTGGAGAAAGATCAGATCGGTAGGAGGTAATAATTCTTGTTGAGTCTCAACAAAATGTTTGATGTGTTGCTTGGGCAAATTCTTCCTTTTCTGGGCTTTCCTTCAAATCCAAGTAGAAAGATTAAAGTAGAAGATATCTTAATACCTTCCATAATATCAGTACACCAATTAAACTCTGTCTCATTAATACCAATTTTTCAAAGGTGAATGTTAGTGCAGACATCTCTAGAGTATGGTCCTCAGACCAGCGGCATCATCTTAGGTAGGAACATGTTAGAAATGTCAGTTTCCACACCTATCCCAGACCTCCTGAGGCCAACCCCTGGGAGCAGGGCCAGCAATCAATCTGTGCTTGAGCAAGCTCCAGGTGTAATTTGAGACTCACTGCTTTTTAGTTTAATGTCAAAAACAACAGAGATTCTAAGGTTCAACCACTGGCATTACCTGCATACAGCACAGAAGAACTTTCCACATCCGAACCGAAATGATTGGCTACAGAACATTCATATACTCCTTGTTCTTTCCTTGTTGGGTTCCTTATCTGTATTCTTCCAGTTCCATCCAAACTTATCCTGTAGAAAAGTTAAAGAGGATGCATTCAAGTGACACATCTAACTGCTCTAGGGCCACAGCAAACTGCAGAAAAAGAAGACTGCAAAATCATAGGTTTTTCAGCTGGCAGGGAATCCAAACGATGATCTCACTGGGATTCTTCCTAGATCCAGAAAACTACACCAGTCAAAGGAATGGGAGAATCTTCCCTCTTGTCCTCCATCCCTGGCACGGTTAGAACTGGATAGTGCTTGGACATATCCGTTTCCTACCTTGCTTTAGGAGAGACTAGAGTCATTGCTTACTTTGCTGCATTTTTTTATGGGTACCGGGGATCGAACTCAGGATTGCCCCCCTTTGCTGCATTTTTAAAAATGATAAACTCTCTGAATTTGCTGGATGTTAAACTCTCATTTTCTGCCCAAATCCTAACACACTGCAGATGTGGATTTCCACATTGAAATTGAGTGGCATTGGGCTCCTGTGTCACTTCCACCATACAAAGAAGCCAGTTGAGAACCAAATCTAAGGCTGAGGGATTCTATGGATTTGTACCAGGGATAAATTGCCTCCATTCTCTAGAGTTTTGTGATTACTGACATTCCTAAAAACCAGTATGACCTGGGAGTGATGGCACTCACATGCCTGTAATCCCAGCCCTCAGGAGACTGAGGCAGGAGGATTGTTCAAGGCCAGTTAGTGCTACACAGTGAGACCTTGACTCACAAACACACACACACACACACACACACACACACACACGCACGCACAGAGTCAGGGAGAGAGAGAGAGAGAGAGAGAGAGAGAGAGAGAGAGAGAGAGAGAGAGAGAGAGGAGAAGAGGAGAGGAGAGCAGAAGAGAGGAGAGAAGAGAGAGAGAGGCCAGGTATGTAAATACCATTCTGAAAATCAGGGATTAGGGTTGATCAGGTGAATACTAACCAATTAGGTAATTTAACCAGGGAAATGAAAATCAATCTTTGTTCTGTTTTCATTTGAATTTTATCTTTTTCTTTATAATTTTAGCCCACTTCTAAACCTGAATCAGGGGTCTGCACTTCTTTCCCTATCCTACTTTCTAGATTTTAGAAATACTGACTATTTTGACTTCTAAATAGTGTGAGCATTTTTCATGGTTTGAGTTTGCTCCTGCCATGTTTCCACGATCTCTCATCACCCTGAGCTTCTGCATGCTCTGCTCACTTTATTTGAAATGGCCTTCTTCCTTTTTGGAAAACTCCAACCTACCCACTGTGTCCTGGGCCAAATAAAATTTCCCTTATAAAGTTTCCCCCAGTATCCTCACCATCATCTTCTACCCCTTCAGACTTCTTCTCTGGTTCATGTATTTACTTGATGAAATCTTTCTTCTCACTGGATTGTGATGTTTTCAAGGACGGGGCCAATCTTATCCCTCACTGTGCCTTTTCAGTTCTCAGCACAATGAATTTTCTATAGTGTCCTCCAAACCCACTGATGACTAAAAGTATGAATAATTAGAATAGAATAGAGGAATAGCTCAGAGTAAGTCCAAGGAAAAAGGGAGGACTCTCAACCTGTGACACAAACAAATATACAAAAGTAGGTGGAAATCAAGGCAGCTAGAGTTCTCCACAGCAAAACGTCTCCAGCCAAAAGACCATCTCTCAATAAGGCTAGAATTTTCATTTGAGGAGGACTAGCTAATGACCAAAGTATAGCCAATAACTATACATATATACATGACAAACAAGCCCAGTAATGTCTTCTTCAAGATTTTGTGCATATGTGTATGTGAGTTAGCAATTCTTGCATAATTTCTTTGCTTTGGAGGCCTCAAGCTAACAGTCACTGAGAAGTCAACGAAATGTGAAAACAGTTGGCATGCATGACCCTCACGTGCCAGGCAGGCCATCCAGCCACTAGGACTGGGTCAGTCCTTGGGCTAGAGAACCAGAAAGTGACCTTTCTTATGTACCTAATCTTGACTATGGCCACATGACTATTTTTAAGTCAAAGCAGTAACAACACAGGCCTTTGTAGACAGCCACCACTAAATGGTCACATACACTCTTTCCTTTCTGGCTGTGACCTCTTACTAGTTGGCATCCAAAGGGCATCCACGTCACACGTGCACACCGTGTTCTCCTTGGAGAGGCTCTCATTTCTCCCATTTCTCAATTACATCAATTGAAAAGATTTGTGGTCTTCAGAAACACATATCCAAAAGTGAGAACCTCATTATATAAAGGGAATTAAACATACATTGAACAAATTATGTGACTTTCAAAGAAAAATGGAAATAAATGGACTTTAATATCTTAAAATTAAAAACCAAAACTTACACTTGACTTGTGGATTTGCTCCTGTTTCAAATGGTTGCTCCCTAAGGATACAGAAGCACATCTTGGCAGGGTGCACCAGGTAAAAATTCTTGTTTATAGGCGCTTTAGGAGTCTCAGGCTCAGAATGTTAGGTTAATTCCTTTCCACTAATTTCAACTACTCATGGTCAGCTTAACATGAATTTACGTAAACTGGCCATGTGCTACTACATCGTGGTCACAGACCATGGATGTTAGCTTATTCAGCCTCCTTTCTTCTGGTTATATAGCGGAACTGTTGAGCCAGTGAGCAGTCCTTAAAGGGCATCCATGGACCTTATGGTTAATGAGATGAAAACTACTGCCTTAATAACAGCAAGCCATGATATGCCTTTTCCACGGCTGTGCTGGCCTTTCTACTGATGCCAGAGATAGCGGTGACAGAGCCACCAGCATCCAAACATGGAGGTAAGCAGCATCACCTGCACTGGCAGTCCCACATTCTGGGACACCACACACTCACCATGGAAGCAAAAAGCCAGCTTCACTTAAGAATATCCTGTATGGAGAAGTGATGCATGCAGACTTGACTGAGACTCACTCCCTGAGTACAAGGGTGCTTCTTCTCCTGTCTGACGCATAGGAGGCACACACAGCTTATCTCCTGCACAACTGTTTGCACTGCTGGATCACTGTGTGCCTTCTTCATGGAATAGGAGTTTTATTTGAAAGAATGAGCAGCAGACAAGCTATGACAAGAAGTCCACACTGATTTGGACTTAGGTTGTTGGCAGATAGCTGTATACTTTTAATGAGTCAAGTAAACTTGCCGACTCAAGGAAAATAACTGATAGTATTTGCTGCCAATGAAAAAATTTGGGTGTTCAATTGAAAACTAGTGCCCGTCATTGTAGCTTGATAGATTCCCAAGACTGAAAATTTTTTCTGATGGTAATGTTAAAGAATGTGGATAGTTTTAAGGCTGTGTAATGAAATGTGTCAAATTTTGGAGACCCACATTTGCAAATCACCAATGTATGATGTTATGAAATCTTGCATGGGTGAAAAAAATCTGTTCAAATTATATAATAAACCAGTAAGCTTTAACTCAACAGAGTGTCCGTATTTCACATATATTATTTCAGATGCCACATTCCAACCTTTGAGAAAGTATCATTTGTCTAATTTTAGTGAAGTATTAAGGAAGAATATCCATAATTACCTGAAAAGCTATTAAAATATTCCCTTTTCCCAACTAAAATTCTGTATAAGATAATTTTTTTCACCATATATTTCAATTGAAACAACACCCTATAACAGAAGAAGCATTTATAAAATCAATGTGTGTATGTACAAGAATATCTTTATTGTCAAATATTAAAGAGATTTGCAAATGTATAAGGAAATTCAACTATTATCAGTAATGAGGGGTTACTTTTCTAAAAATGTTATTTATGTGAACATGTAATGGGCCTCACTATTTTTTTTATAAACAAATTGAAATGTTTTAAATGTTTCTTATATAGACATATAAATATCTCAAAAGCCTGTCAAGGTTTTTTTAATTTAAAATTTAAAAGAACCCTAGGATCAAAAGTTTGAAATTTACTCCAATTCTATAATTTCATTGCATAACTGTGTTTAGAGCTCTAAGGTAAAAGAATACAAAAATAGATTTTTCATTTTAAGACTTAGCCCAATAATTTATTATAAAACATGAATTTCATCCAGATTCTTCTGATGTTTCTTATATTAGGTTCAAGGCACAAAGGACATTGTAAAAATAAAATTTGCATTTATTTTATTTTATTTATTTTTGTTTTGTTTTTTGATAGTCTCATTGTGTAGCCCCGGTGGGATGTGAACTCATGATGACTTTCCTGCCTCAGTTTCCCAAGTATATATCTGATTTCAGGTGTACACCACAATGCTCAGTTCAAAACTTTCATTGTAAAGGTTTTTTTTGGCTTATTAACCAATTTCATACAAACTGTTCTCTTTGTGTCTCTTAACAAAAGCTATAGACAGGTAGGCTGAAAGTTGAGCCCTAAAATGCAAATCAACAGAGGACACAACATCTGCAGTCCTTTTGTACAAACAGCAAGATTTAAAGATAGTAAAGAACTCAAGAGTGAATTGACATCTGCTACCCCTCATCTTATGTACAATGAATGAAATGTGACATTTTTCTGTGACCTAGAGATGACAATACAATGACTTAATTCTATGCTTTGAGCACTTCAGCAACTATGATTCTTATGATCTTGTTTTTGGATTTTATGACACAAACTACCATGTAACAGTAGAAAATCACTTCAGATTTCTAATCTTTCTACCAAGGCTGCTATCTGATGTCAAATATGGCCAGTGGCATTTGGAGCTACAGCCCTGGACCTGGATGGTTGGGATTGTTTCTCAATGAGCTCATTGGAAAAATGGACTGCTGCCCTGCCAACCTCTTATGATACATGTGAGCTCCAGTGAGATGTCACGTGTCCTCGACACCTGGAACTCCGTCAACTGGGACCTGTAGTTCCAACATAATGCAGGATTGCTATTTATATGTTTAACTTTGTACATGGCCTTATATTTATTTTTACACAAACAGAGATGCTGTACATGTTTAAACTCATTCTCCCTATGCACAGTTCTATATCAATATGCTAGTAATTAAGATAGCAGAGTAGTTTAAGAAATTCCAGCATAAATGAAAAAATCCTAATTTTTAAAATATTCATTCTAGTTGGAAACATACTCTTAGGAGAAAAAGTTCCAAAATATTTTCAAGAAAACTAGAACCATCAAAATGAACACTGAATTCTCATTTTACTTACTTTACTGAAGGCTGTAACAATGCTCCATCCTTGGTCCATGTGTATGTGACCTCGCTGGGAGTGACAAGGTCACAGTGGATATCAATGACCTCTGTTCTTTTTGTAATGTATATCGTGTTTCCAATCCTTGCATTGATTGTCTTATTGAATGAAACGGAAGGGGGCTGGCTTCGCCTCAGGATAACAGGTCCTTTGGGCTTAAATGTCAGCCGGCCTGCACCTTTTGCACTCTTGCTTTGGGGCACACTCCCTGTCTGGCCTCTGAGTGGAGCGGAGGGCAGCGGCTCCTCCTGGACACCCCTCCACTGCGGGGGTGTTGGCTGCACCTTCGCCAGTGCCAACTCAGCCACCAGCTGATAAATCACCTGGGAGGCGAGCTCTTCGCTCACCTTCCCGGCCTCCATGAGCTGGCTCATGCTTCTCATCAGCTCCTCAAACTGGACTGTATCCATGCTGTAAGCACCCTGCTTGATGGCTGCTTCAAACTGCTTATTCTTCAACTCCCAGGAGTTAGCGCTACCTGCCGGATTGCTGCAGTGGCCAAACAGAGCTCTCAAGAAAGGCTGGTTATTAAATTGACCATCAGGCAGGGAAAGCTCATTTTTGTTACTCCACATCTGCCTCATTTTATGCCAAGTGGCTCCCAAGCTATTGGCCTCAGGGTGGTCCGTTCCAGGCGGCTCCTTCCCATGTTGTCTGAGGGCTGGGTGTGCGATGAGCCTGTTGTCTGTCCCAATGAGCTTGAGGACAACTGTGTCCTGTGTAGAGCCTGCAATGCACCGATACACACCTATGTCAGGGGCTGCGAGGCTGTGGATTTTCAGCGAGCCCGACTTAGTGATGCTGAGTCGTTTAGAGTTCTGCAGACACTGATTGTCCTTCTCCCAGCGGATCAGAGATCTCTGGAAGCGTCGCACTGGACATTTAATGATCACAGAGGTATTGGGAAGCAAGTAGGCCCTGCTACCGATGGTTAGGTTGATCCGCTTCTCCACCCTGGTCTGAATGTAGACTCTCTGCACACTGAGAATCTGAGGTCCTGGTTCCGCAGCTTTTGTCCTTGTGTCTTCTTTCATTTCTGCAAGGAAAAATGAAGATAAGAGAATGAAAAGTTTCAAAAATAAAAGCTTTGGGGCAGTACTCTTCTAAGATTGATATAAGCAGCAGTGTATCTTCTTTTTTACTCTTAAAATAATTGAGTAGTAAAACATGAATAACATCATACGTCTGTACTTTGGACTAACCGTCCGTCACAGCTCTCTTTAACATTAGCAGCAATGACTACAAGTTTGAATGAGCTACATGAAAATGTGTAAATTATTTTATAGAAACCTTGGTGTGGGGAGTCATGAGGTTACATGGCTTAATGAACCAGAAGGAATGATTGCTTCACCGGGTGAGAAATATTTGTTCTATGCCAAACTCATAGGGTGGCCTTATAATCATCCAACTCGTGGATATAGGTTGCTCTCAGCAGGATGTTGGTCTGCTATGTTGGGCCTCCACCATCCTGAGGGGTGACCCGCAGGAGCTAATCTAGCTTGGAGCCATGAGTACCCCACATCTAAGGGAAGAAGCAAGGGCGTAATGTGAATGAATGCACTTGAAGTGTCTGAAAAGGAGGGTGAGGTTGTCAACTGCAGAATACAACCCCAATATGCCATTTCAGCTAGAATGAGGGTCTGAGAAAGAAATGTCAAACTGTGTTCAGAAAAGAAAAGGTAGTGTAGGCCTTGAAACCCACACACTTGTAAGTTGACACCTTCACCCTGCTACTTGGATGGTCATTTAACCCCTCTGAGTGTCAGTTTTCTTACCTGAAAAGTGTGGATAATGCTGGTACTTTCATCAGAGGAATGTAGAAATTACATTGGATTGTTTCTACGAAATGTTCAGCACAGCAACATATGCAAAACGACAGTGACCCTGGCCAGGTGACAGCAGCAGGCCCAGACATGAGGCAGAAGAGACTCAGAGGTGGGGTGACCTTCATTTGTTCCTGGGCACAGACTCTGGTTAATATGCTGGGCCCAAACAGGATGTACCTCAGATCCTGCATCCCAAGAGAACCAGCCATCTCCCCGATTCACTTGTGGAAGAGGGTTTCCTGTATTCTGAGATGATTCAGGGGGGTGAACGCTTTGATGTGTGTGCAGGGGTCTGAATCCTCTTTGAGGGTGTGTTTTGTTCCCTGGGAAGATTATGGGATGGGGCCTAGAAGGCTTGAAGGCATCAATGAGTGCTAAAAGAGACTAGACTCACATCCTAAGTATTGCTAGATTTAGAAGTTCATGACACTGAAGCCTCATTATCCTGAAGAACCTTACTTAGCGGTCCTCATGGTATAAACACTGGCAGGGACAGAATGGGAGAAATAAACAGAGTTCTACTTCAATGGCCTTCGTAGGCTCTTGGCACTAAGTACAGTGTGTTTGTTGAAAGTCTGGTTTGCAAGAATAAATCTTGGAGTATTCCAGGTGCCCCAGGAACCCTTTCCTCTATGGCTGCTTGATTAGGTTTGGAGGTTCAGAAAAGCAACAGAAATAGATTCATAATTTCTTTGAGAAAAAAGGTATTTGGTGAAGGACAGACATGATGAATCTACATGAAAATTTCATAAAGATGAAATTGATAGTTCAAGCTCATGGACCTAAAGTTATGTTACAAAATTACAATGATTAAACAGCACGGCAATGGCCCAAAGTAAACATGAGACTCAATGGAACAGAATTGAGAACAGGAAAAACCGCAGGCACATTCAGCTATCTGATCTCTGGCCAAGGGACCGAAAACATATGTTCAAAGTAAGATAGCCTCTTCAGCAAAAGGTGCTGGGAAAACTGAATATTCACCCGCAGAAGGTTGAATCTAGACCTGTATCACTCATCATGTACTAAACTAAAATCAAAATGGATCAAAGATATAAATGTCAAAACAGAAAGACAAAACAGGAAAAACTCTTGAAGACATAGGTATAGACAAAGACTTTCTGAAAGGAACTCCAAATGAACAAAAAAAATAGATCAAGAATCGATAAATGAGGTCACATCACATTAAAAAGGAACAACTGAGAGTGGAGAGACGAGACAGAATGGTAACAGTGAACAAACTGTTCACTGTAATTTGCCAGTGAACTAACAAAAATAACACCTCCCCCAATAAAAATGCAAAAATATGATCAGCTGAAATGACACTTGTTGGAAGCACAAATGGCTAAGAAATATCCCCCAAATGTTTAGCATCTCTGACCAGAGAAATTCAAATTACAACAATGCTTAGATTTTATCTTACTCCAGGAAGAATGGCTATCATCAAAAAAATTTTTAAAAAAGGCCTGAGAGGGTGTGAGGAAAAATGAACCCAACACATTGTTGGTAGAAATGTAAACTAGTAAAACCATTATGGAAATCATTATAGAGACTTCTACAAAAACTAAAAGTGAAAAGTCCATTTGGCTTAGCTATTCCTCTTCTAGGTATATTCTTTAACTCCTTCCATGTTAAAGACATATTATACGGCTATATGGGGTTTTAGTGATTATTCTCATTGCTCAGATGAAATACCAGACACCAAGTTAAAGGCTCCAAAGCAGGGCAGAGAGACATTGCAGTGGAGAAACAGTCCATGGCATGGCAAGCAGAAGGCAGTGAAGGTTGCTGCTGCTCTCCCTTTTATCTCTTATCCCATCCAGGCTAAAAACATTTTGGGTGGTATCACCAACACCCAGAATGGGACTTCTTGTTTCAGTAAATCCTTTCAGTCACACCCAGATCTAAGCAATTTCTCATCAGCGGACTAATTTAGTATCACACACCCTTACCTCCAGTATCATGTCCTAGATCCAGCCAGCTCCAAAAAGCCCCATATGTGAGTACATGACACTTTGGGGAGACATCAAGAGACAAGCCACAACACACGGATATCCATGTTTATAACAGCACAATTCATAGTAGCTAAATCTTGGAAGTGGCCTATATGTCCATCATAAAATGAATGCATAAAGAAAATGTATTATTTGTGCACAAATACTATTCTGCTATAATAAGGAGATAAACTTGAGTCATTTGTAGAAAAATGGATGCATTTTGAGACCACAATATTAGGTGAAATATATCAGATGTACAAGCTTAAATATCACATAACTTCTCTTATGTGAAAACCACGCAATAAATAAAGAGCAATATAAAAGAAATGTAATAAGGAGGTAGATCTTTTGCAAAAGGGAAAGGGACCAAGAAATGAGGGAGAGAGGAGAAGGAGATGAAAAAAGAATTGTTATGTTATGTACATGTATCAACTTCCCATGAAGAATGTAATCATTATGTACTACAACCATGTACTAATAAAAATTAAACACCAAAAAAATTTATAAAAATTTAAAATTCCTCCCTTCCAGCAATACAAAGTCAGACAATGAATCTGTGTAATTGGGTAACATATAGAGACAGATGGTTTCAGGAAAATTGCGGGTGGGATCAAAGCTTCAACGTGCCTGCTCTTACCAAGATGGCGCAGAAATCACACACATGGCTCAGGCTGGGGATGATACAAGGCTGGTGTGATCCCAGAATCCATCCTGATGCCCTAGGAATAACACAGAGATGGGTCCTAACCAGTAGCCAGATATTCCCTCAGCTGAGCTTGGAGTCTCCTCTCAAAGCAGGCAGTGGAGCCTGCAGGTGGCACACAAGGCTTAGCCTTGGGGAAGAACCTTCCATGGTGGCCTGTTGAGCCACAGGAGAAACCTAACTGTCTATGCATGGCCCCAGCTGGCCCCACTCCCAGCCCTGCCTAGGCAGCTCCCCATACTGGGGTTCAAGCAATCCAGCTGGCAGGTATGCTGGCAGGGACTGGATTCTGGCCAGAAACAGAAACTCATGAGCCTTGCTCGAATGCCAGGTTCCACAGCTTGGGCCAATTTCTCCCTGGTATGCCTCTGAGTTCCTTCAGAGAAGTAGCTGCAGTGTGGTTTCCCTGGGCCCCGTTCTTGGGCAAGGAACTGATTTGACACATTTAAACACCTCTAGTCTCTCTCATTTGAGTCAGGCAAAGGACAAAGAACACAACAAAGGATGTATATAAGGAGACAAAGGGATAGATTTTTTGTAACTGGGAAGGATTCCAGAGATGGAGAGGGTGGGGGAGGGGCCAGGGTCACAGGAAGTAAGTAGAATAAAAATGCGCCATGTCCAGGACCTAATAACCTCAATGAATATTACAACATGAGCTAAGATTAATATTATCAACTAGAGTGAAAATGGGGGAAAGGGATTTAGATCAGGAAGGCGAGAGGCAGGGAAAAGGGGATTTAAAGAAGTTATAATATGTGTGTGTGCCCACTCCCCAAGATGATTATAAATGGCATGTACTGAAATCATATACTAATTAAAAGAAAGAAAAGAAAAGAAAACTGGTCTAGCTTGAAGTAACAGCCTTCTCCTATCTCTGGAAATGCCTCAACATGGTGGGACCGGCCCATCCCACGTGGACAAGAGCACTGCCCCCTGCTGGCCAGGTTCCTGAATGTTCTCCCAGAGGCCTCCCAGGCTATGTGACAGTGCCCACACATCCCTCTGCCTCTCCTGCTGTGCAGGGGTGAGAAATGCCACAGTTTGACTTTTCTAGAGAAAGAAAGGCTAGCTCTTACATGTCCTCCTTTGGGGGTCTTTATTCCAGCTCCTGGTGCCCACAGCACTGGCCTCAGCTCCTCATGTGCCTGACTGGCCATACTCCTGCCAGCTCCTCTGGGACTGTAAAGCTTTCTGCCATGCTCTGCTTCTCCCCAGCTAATCCTCATCTCACCAGCCATGGCTCTGGCAACTCGCTGATGGGCGTTGGCTGTGGTGTGCTTTCCTATCACACTGTTAGATACTCACCATCGGAATCTAGCCCACCACTTGCCTGGTTGACTGGTGCTGGTTCCCTCTCCTGACATTAGAAATGAAGATCCTAAAGCTCTCCAGGAAATGCCAGCGATGGCCTTGCATGATAAATCCCTCCCTCCTACCCCGTTAATCTTATGTGATCATTCCCAGGACTCTGCAATCCATGCTCACTCGCTACATGAAGAAATCTCTC